TGGCTTCGAACTCGGCGACGCCTGAGGCGCCCCCAGCAACTCCTGCCTGTCCCACTGTCTGTCGAGCTCCTCGAACGGGTCAGTCTCGCCATCTATGTTGCGCGGCAAGTGGCGCACAGGGGGGACCTCATGGCTCTCATCGCGCCAGCCATCCAAGCCACGATTCACTTCTCCATGTGCGAGGGCATCGGCCGCGCCACCTTGGTGGGCCTCGCTCCGACTTGCAGGAAGGGCCGCGAGGCGAGCATCTCAGCACCTGCCTGCCCCGTCCTCGGCCACTGCGCGCGCGAGGGCATCGGCCGCCCCACGTCCGTGGGCCTCGCTCGGTTTTACCTGGGGGGCGACGGGGCGAGCATCGCTGCACCTCTCCAAGCCGCCCGCAGCAGCTCCATGTGCGAGGGTCTCGGCCGCCCCACAGCGGTGGGCCTCGCTCGGTCTTACAGGGGGGGCGACGGGGCGAGCGTCGCAGCCCCTCACCACGCCGTCTTCAGCAACTCCACGTGCGAGGGCATCGGCCACCCCACCGCGGCGGGCCTCGCTCGGTCTTACAGGGAGGGCGACGGGGCGAGCGTCGCTGCACATCACCAGGCCGCCCGCAGCAACACCATGTGCAAGGGCATCGGCCACCCCACCGCTGTGGGCCTCGCTCGGACTTACAGGGGGGCGACGGTGCGAGCGTCGCAGCGCCTCGCCATGCCGCCATGAGCTCCTGCGTGTGCGGGGGCGTCGGCCACCTCACCGCTGCGGGCCCCGCTCGGACTTGCAGGGGGGGCGATGGTGCGAACATCGCAGCGCCTCACCAGGCCGTCTCCGGCAGCTTCATGCGCGAGGGCATCGGCCGGCCCACCGCGGTGGGCCTCGCCAGCAGCAAGCCCTTGCCCCTGGGCATACGGGGGGTGCTCAGGGGCACCTGAGCGCACACGCTCCACTTGGCTCCCCGAACCCAGCTGCACAATCGGCTGAAAGCCAGGATTTTGACTTGCTGGAGGCACCGTCATTTTAGAATCGACGTGCGCCACTGGCGCCAGCACCTGCCATACGACGGCGCTTGACTTCCTGCCAAGAGGGGGGCTTGCGACAACGCTTGACTGTACCGCGAAGCTCAGCATCATCATCTGTACCACCCGCAAGCCTCCAGGTAGGCTTTGAGCTCGGCCGTGGGGGCCACCTCGGACATGGCCACAGCTTCTGCGGTAGCTGGGTCGCCACCTGCTTCAAGGTCAGTAGCGCCTGCCACGTCAGCAGACTCAGCCTTGACAGCATCCGCGCGCACGGCATCCTCCTGCTTGACCTTCTCTGCCGCCGCCACAGCCTAACGGATCTCGGCGACCACACCTTCCACCTTCGCGGAGAGCGAATGCTGTAGGCCCATGCGCTGCAGTGCCTGGCACATCTTAGACAGAGAGTAGCGATCGCTACCACCTTCCTCACGAGCCCCAGTAGGGGGCCTGGGCACAGCATCGTACAGCAAGGAACGCTCAGCTTGGACATCCACCAACTGGGCCCCCGTCTTGGCGATGGCATCCTCCCCCTCGGCGATATCCGCCTGAAGCTCCTTGAGCTTGGCCTTCTCCTCCTCCAAAGTAGACTGTCAACGAAGCTCCTGCTTTTGCAGCCGGCTAATCTTGTTGGACAACTCATGCACCTTGACCGCGTCGGGCTTCTCTTGAAGCACCCGGGCACGAAGATATTCCTTCTCTTTGCGGTAGCCAGCCAGCACGCCTTCGATCTCGGCGGGGAGCGGCTTCGCGAGGCTGCTGAGGTGCGCGATGAGGCCATCCAGCTCTGCGATGCGAGCCTTATTGCACGTGGCCATGTCCAGCGCGGCGTCAGGGGCATCGGTGGCAGTGGGCTGCATCTGCTTCTTCTTGAGCTCCTTCTCCAGCTGCGTGACCTTGTTGGACATGGCCAAGAGCTGCTTCTCCAGAGGCGTGTCACCTTCGCTGCCAGGCGTCTTGGGCCCCTTGAGAGAGGAAGGATCCTTGGGTTCTGGTTTGCACTTGAACGCCGCCGACTTCGACACACCGCACGAGTGACAAACCAGCTTGTCTGGGTAATTGACGAATGGCTTGCCATTTCGCCTTTTGCACCACTTGCAGCACCACTTGGAGCGCTGCTCATCTCTGCGGCCGACAGGCGCCATGGCTGCTCGTGAACTGTGTACAGCGTGTGGAGCCACACAATACAGTTTCCCAAAGAGCAACAGTGGCCAGGGCGGCCCAGAGGAAAGACTTGTTCCGAGAACTTGGCTCAAAACGCGACCCCTCGCGCTCGAAACGCCCTCTCGGACTTGCGGTCGTCAGGTGACGCATTGCCTTGAGCCAAAATGGCTACGGATGTGTGTGTGTGTGCGTGTGTGCGTGTGTCCGTGTGTGCGTGTGTGCGTGTTTGCGTGTGTGCGTGTGTGCGTGTGTGCCTGTGTGCCTGTGTGCGTGTGTGCCTGTGTGCCTGTGTGCCTGTGTGCCTGTGTGCGTGTGTGCGTGTGTGCGTGTGTGCGTGTGTGCGTGTGTGCGTGTGTGCGCGTGTGCGCGTATGCGCGTGCGCGCGTGCGCGCGTGCGCGCGTGCGCGTGCGCGTGCGCGTGCGCGTGCGCGTGCGCGTGCGCGTGCGCGTGCGCGTGCGCGCGCGCGAGCGGGTGCGGGCGTGGGCGTGGGCGTGGGCGTGGGCGTGGGCGTGGGCGTGGGCGTGGGCGTGGGCGTGGGCGTGGGCGTGGGCGTGAGCGTGGGCGTGGGCGTGGGCGTGGGCGTGGGCGTGGGCGTGGGCGTGCGTGCGTGTGTGCGTGTGTGCGTGTGTGCGTGTGTGCGTGTGTGCGTGTGTGCGTGTGTGTGTGTGTGTGCGTGTGTGCGTGTGTGCGTGTGTGCGTGTGTGCGTGTGTGCGTGTGTGCGTGTGTGCGTGTGTGCGTGTGTGCGTGGGTGTGTGGGTGTGTGGGTGTGTGGGTGTGTGGAGGTGTGTGTATGTGTGTGTGTGTGTTTGGGGGGGGAGGTCTGCGTGTGCTTGCGCGCACTTGAACTACACTTCCTATGCCTGGGAAGCCTAGCCTGCAACGGCGAAAAGCACATTCCCTTTCCGCCTCCTGTATTTGTGAGGTGAGGGTTGGTGCGCATCCACTACCACTGCCACAGCTTCAGGATATATGACATCTGCAATGGTGAGAGCCCGATGCCACTGTCACACTCTGGACCAGGGTGTCCTGGAGTGGTGTGAACACCAAGCTCGCGCCAAGAGCTCTGAACAGGGCAGTCCCGGCTCCAACCGTCGTGCCACACTTTCCGGACTTTGGATACCTGCCTCGGCCAAATATCCGATGCCCAGGATATAGTATCCTCATCCAGGAAAGCTGGAATGATGGGGATATGACGTTCTTGCGACAAGTTGTGGATCCCAGGAGATCGGTGATTATGAGAATCGGACACAACTGCCACACTCTGGAACTGGAAAGCCGAACAATTCACTGAACAATTGGTTGACTTTCCCTCCTCCTCCTCCTCCTCCTCCTTCTCCTCTTCCTCCGCCTGCTCAACCCTCCCTCCCTCACTCACTCCCTCTTCCTCCCTTTTCATCCTCCCCCCCGTCCCCCTCCTTCCTCCTCCAACATCCTCGCTGCTCCTCCTCATCATCATTATAGCCCCATCCTCGCCCCCTCCCTCCCCATCCCCACCCTCCCCTTTCCCGCAATCGTAGCTCCTCCCTTTCCTCGTCCTTCTGTTTCTCAATACCCACTTCTTCAGAGATCTCCTCCTCCCACTCCTCCTCCTCCCTCCATCCCCCTCCTCCTGCTCCTCCTCCGCCTCCTCCTCCTCCTCCTCCTCCTCTAAGTATCAGTCCGTATCCTTATTATGCCGTCTTTGCATTTCTAGTATGATTCGTCTTCGGCTGCGTCGTCCTCACCTTCATCACCTTGTTGTGCCTTCAAATTTTCAATTGTGTCTTCCTTCTCCTTCTCCTCCTCCTCCTTCCTCCTCCTCCTACTCTTCCCCCTCGTCCCCCTCCTCCCCGTCCTCCGCCTCCCCTCCGGCCCCTCCTCCCCCTCCTCCTCCTCCTCCTCTTCCTCCTCCTCCTCCTCTTCTCCTCCTCCTACTACCCATCACCATCACCACTTCACCCTCATCATCGCCAGCGTCATCGACATCGCCGCTATCACCTTCATCATCACCACCATCATAGTCAACATCAACATCACCAGTATAATCGTCGGCATCACGATAACACGCATCAGCATCATCATCACCATCAACATCGTCATCATCACCATCTGAATCATGCTTTCCTGTTGCCCAAACTTTCCCAGCGAGTAGGTAAACGGTTTCCTCTTCAGTCCACACCGTGATGGCTCCATGTGCCAAGACTGACCAGCGCCGCAAACGCCGCAAGAGCCAATTCTTCATCGAATGCCTAGCGCTAAGTCGGGCCTGTCCCCCTACAGGGGGATTCTCGACGAAAAAAATATAGTCCAAAAATAATCCAAAAATAGTCTGGGGACTATTTTTTGAATATTTGTTTACCTTTTTGGGGTAGTTTGAAAGATTGTTTAATTGTTCGTCGAAAATCCCCCTGTAGGGGGACAGGCCCAACATAAGCCTAGCGTTCGCTACGTTGCCGGCCCCACGGAGGCAGCCGGCGCAATCTGGCAGCAAGAGCGCATCGATGGTCTTCACGTCTCCTCCGGTTCCTCCACGGGTCTCGCCTGACTGGCCGCGGACAATGTCATGGGCCTCCTGGACATGGCATTAAGTCGGGCGTGTCCCCTACAGGGGGATTTTCGACGAAAAATAAAAGATACCCGAAAAATGCCAAACAAATGTCAAAATATACGCAAAAAAAGGTCCCCAGGCAATTTTTGGACTATCTTTTTAGCACTTTGTGGGTATGTGTTTTTTTCCTCGAAAATTCCCCTGTAGGGGGACAGGCCCGACTCAAAAATGGCACCCAGGCTGCTCCCTCACAGCGCCCGCACCCTCTCCGAGCACCAGCAGAAGCACGAGGGGGCGCGGGCGGGCCACCAGGGCAGCCCCTCCTCCCCGAGGCTCTGCACCGCCCTCGACACCATCTTGAAGCCGCGGGTGAAGGAGATCTTCACCTCGCCGGAGCGGGCGACCAGCCATAACTGGGGGAGCTGTGGTCCTTACCCCCCTGGGGGAACCCATCGCATCGACGATCTCTCGAGAGGGGTGTCGAAATCGATGGGTCCCCCAGGGGGGTAAAGACCACCCAGTTGTGGCTGGCCTGAGCGGGCGCACCCGATCTCACGAGGCGGCGAGCAGAACACTCGTGCCCGTGCTCCCTCTCGCGGCCCGGACGCCCAGGCGTGGCCCCGTGGATACGGAACCCCACTGCTGGGCAGTCACTCGAGCGAGGCCAGGACAGGGACAACATCGGGCTGGGACAGGCCAGAGATCTCTGAGCTCAGCAGACTCTGGAGAAGGCATCGGGCGCCGCGGCCTTCTCAGAGCGTTCGGGAACACGATGAGAGCAGAGCTTTCTGGAACTCTCTGGGACGATGTATCCGTCCTAGCCCCGCCCGGCCACCCCTGCAGGTCAAACTTTCAGAATTCGGAAGATGTTTACAGCCAAGCGGCAACACTCGGGCAGACGTAAGACTCGGGTACGGGGGACTCGGGTTGGCCTGACGGGGCCATAGAAAAATGACGAGGCCCAATCTGAAATTTGACGCGATCTCCCGCTGCAAACATCCCACGAAAACGGGACCGTCAAAATCCAGGACGCGCTTGTCAAAGAACGTCGGCAAACCCGAGTTCCGGCTTACTCGAGTCTTGCGTTCCCCCGAAACACAGCCAAGAGCGGACCCGCAGGCCCAGGGCTTGCAACTCCTCGCAGAGCGGGTACACAAAAGCGCCACGCGGTGCGCCAGCGCTGTGCCCGTGTGGTGGCAGTGGCTGACAGAGGCCACCTGCGTGAGGTCCGAGCACACGGGGTCGGAGGACGAGCGAATCCTCCTCCTCCTCCTCCTCCTCCTCCTCCTCCTCCTCGTCCTCCTCCTCCTCCTCCTCCTCCTCCTCCTCCTGCTCCTGCTCCTGCTCCTCCTCCTGCTCCTGTTCCTCCTCCCGCTCCTGCTCCTGCTCCTGCTCCTGCTCCTCCTCCTCCTCCTGCTCCTGCTCCTGCTCCTGCTCCTCCTCCTCCTCCTCCTCCTCCTGCTCCTCCTCCTCCTCCTCCTCCTCCTCCTCCTCCTCCTCCTCGATGCATCACCGATGCAGCACCGATGCAGCGGCAGCGCCGGCGAGACACATCGGCAGTGCCGGGGTGGAGAACCTCGGCCTCCAGATCGAGCCGCCTCGCCGACAGCGCGGGCGACGCGGCGCGACCCTTCGACCCCAGCTGGGAGGCCTGGAGCTGGGGAGCCCGGACCGCGAGGCCGCGGCCGCGCACACTCCTCCCGCCCCAACGGCCCGAGGAGGAGGAGGAGGAGGAGGAGGAGGAGGAGGAGGAGGAGGAGGAGGAGGAGGAGGAGGAGGAGGAGGAGGAGAGGGCGTAGCTCGCCAGCTCCTTCCCTGCGCTGGGTGCTCGCTGTCTCGCCGAGCTCCCTGTCCTTCCCTCTCGCTGGGTGTTCGCCGCGGCCTCGGGCGGAGAACCTCGCCGCCTGCACCGGGCGCATCGCCTGCGCGGGTCGCTCCGCAGCCGTCGGCAGCTCGGGCTCCGCCCTCGACTGCTGCGCTGGCGCTCCCTCAGCCGCGGCCAGGTTGGCGGCCTCCACGTCCCTCCGCTGGGGGGCCACGTGCGAACCCTACCCCTACCCCCCACGACTTCTGAAGGGGAGAGGGTTCCCTTCGCTCAGGAGCTCCCGAACGAAGTGAACCCAACCCCCCCCCCCTCAGAAACCGCGGGGGGCAGGGGCAGGGTTCGCAGATGGACCCCTATCCGCTCGTCGCCCTGCAGCCTTTCCAGATCGGCGTCCTCGAGGGCGGTCGCCTTGATCTCCGCGGCTCTCCGCTGCAGGTCGCCATCTTGCGGCGGTGCAGCGGCGGGCGAGCGCTCGGCCTGCGCAGCCTCCGCCAGCCACTCGGCCGCGGCCTGGCGCCGGAGCTGCTCCAGCAAGCGGGCCCGCTCCAGCGCCGCCGCAGGCCCCGCCACGCTGCGCTGGGCCTCCGCCCGCTGCCTGCTGCTTTCGCCGCTGGTCCAGGTGGGCCTCCGCTGCCAGCGCAGCTTCGTCGGCGCCCGTGGCCTCCCGCGTCGCCGCGCGGCTCCGACCCCCGACGTCGTGAGAAACTCACGACGTCGGCCCCCCGAAGTCTGGAGACCTTCCCTGGGGCCGGCTTTTCATCCCGAGCCGTTGTTTGACGCTCCCGAGGCCCGGCGAGGGCCTCCAGAGGCCGAAAATTGTTTTAAAAACCTTTGTCGTGAGCTTCTCGCGACGTCGGAGGTCTGGGCTCGCCGCTGGCTCCCGCGCTCCAGGCTCGGCGGCCTGCAGTCGGCGGCTGCCGCGACCCGCCGCTCGGCCGGCTCGGCGGCCTCGCGGCACGCAGCCTCCGCCCCTGCCGCAGCTTTGGACGCCCGAAGTGGGCACAGAAAAAATGGGCACAATGCCCAACAACAAATGTTGTCCCAAACCAACAGCGGCGGCTGTGGGGCAGGCGGCCTCCTGTCTCAAACGGACACAGGCCGCGTCTGCGCGGACAGCGAGTCCTGTTCACAATGAACAGGAACTGCTGTTGGGCATTGTGCCCATTCTTTCCGTACCCATTTCGCTCGTGCAGAGCAGCTGGTCGAGGCACGCCTCTGCCGGCTGGGCCGGCGCCTCCTCGTCAGCCTCCATGTCCTGGCGTTCGGCCCTCGCCCCGGCGCTCCGAAGCGCTTCGGCCACGGCGGCGCCCCGGCGGGTCGGCGCCGAGCCGCGGTGGCTCGCGAGCGCCGCGAAGAGAACCCCCCCCTCCCCGTCAGAGATCGTGGGGGGTTAGTGGTACTGGCCATCGCTCGAACGTCCATTCCCTGTGTGTTTTTTCGGTTTCGTGCGGGGTTGTTTCGCCAAATGATGAAGGATGCTCCTCGATGGTCCTCGCCGAAGGAAAAATGCACACGTGGAGAGATGCCAAGTGGTAGGGTTCGCATGTGCCCCCCTTACTGAGGCTAAGGTAAAACCACCAAATCCGCCCCTGGGGAATCCTCGAGGAATGCCCGCCGGCAGAGCTGGGCAGGGAGGCAGGGAGGCAATCCGGAACGGCAGCAACATTTGAAGTAATCATGCCGTGGACGTTGGGCCCCGGCTGGTGAACGGAGTGCCATCTAGCAGGTCAGCGTGACGTCGAACACGTAGGTCATGCAGCCTGAGCTCGTGATGGCCCAGGCGATCGCAAGCTCTTCGGATAGTCAACGGGCGGCGCCGCCGCCAAACACCCTGTCCTTCAACGTCGTTGAACACCTGCACGCGGAATGTGCCCATGCCCACATTCACCGCCTTGTCGTGCAGGGTGGCCCGAACCTGGCCACCTCGCCCACATCGTGCGAATACAAACGGAAGCGGCCAGATGGCGCGGAAGGGCTGGCTGCAGCCAACCATTGCCACTTGCCTGCCCAGTGGCCGCGCTCCTCGCGAAGCTCGGTGAGCGAGGTCACCGTCTGGCTGAGGAGGTGCGTGACGAGGTCGCGGATCCCTCGATCTCGACCTCCGTGATTGCCTGGACCGCCGACGGGGTCCCGTGGGTATCTTCGGCTCAGCGCGTGGCCGCGACCCTCGCCGGGAGGGCAAAAAGGCATGGCGAGTGGGCGCCCGCCACGTTGCGGCAGGCGCCACTTCAGCTCGCAGACTGCCGTGCCCGGGCCGTTGCGCATCATGGTGTTCAGCGCGTTCTGCCGCGTGTCGGCGGAGGCCTGCGTCGTGAGGGGGAGGCTGGACCTGCTAACTAACGGAGGAGTCTCGGGAGCAGAGCGCCCAGATCGGCACGAGAGCGCCCGCGTGGCCGAGCTCCGCGCTGAGGGAGCCTGGATCCGTGCCAGGGCCTCGGAGGCGAAGCTCACGCCTGCTGGGAGAAGCCGGCGGGCACGGCGCATCAGCAGTCATGCTGGAGGCACGAGCCGTCGTGGGCGAAGCAGACCTCGACTCTGCCCCAGGGAGGCTGCGAGAAATCCTGCCGATTGACGCGCGCGGGCCGGAACCACCAAACACGTTGCACGGGGTGCGCAGGACGTCCGCCCCCGGGATCGACGGGAAGTCCACGAGGCAGGTGGGCGAGGGCGCGACCTCGATGAGGGGGGACTCCAGCCCCCTGATCCTGGGGAGCCCCCCGACGGTGGCACAGCGGTGCCAGAGGTCCAACGGCGCGATCAAGTGGACGTACACACGCAGAGGCTGTTGTTCGAGTCGAGCTTCAACAGCGCGGACAGGAGGCAGCCGAGGGAGGACGCGCTCGCGAGCGCCCAAAATGAGATGGGCCTCCAGGGATTCTGCACGGTGTCCCAGAATCTGGCGTCGCCCTTCTCCACAAGTGCCCGCAAGTTCTGCGCGCAAGCGGGCGACGTCCACAGGGGCCACCCGCCCCCCAGAGCTGGGGACACGCGCGGACCGCAGAGATGCTCAGGACGACCACTGCGTGCACGCGACCTCCACGTGGCTCGTGGTGGTGGCCAGAACAGCATACATTGCTCGGCATCCGACCAAGTACGGCACTATTTGAATCCTCGCGACCGTCTGACTTTCCAGGCCCCTTCCCGATCCTGGTGCCCAGCACCTGGTCGGACCGATGGGGGGCCCGAAGCATACGCCTCGCAGAACTCAGGTCTGCCACTCCCCTGGGCCAGCGCCCTCCCAGGGGGCAGCGGGCTCCCCGCCGCGGTTTCCAGCCCCGGCCCTGAGCGGAAGGCGACGGCAGGAAGCCCTCAGCCTGCACCCCTGCTTCCCGCGTCCCTCCCCTCTGCGGCGCCTGCTGTCTCGCTCCCCGCACCGAGTGATTGCGACGCAGCCGGCACTGCGATCCACGGCCACTTTGGGCGGTCCCGCCTTCTCTGCTGAAGGGGCCCAGGGACACACAAATCAAAAGACACAAATTATCCCAGTGCGACCCTACCTAGGAGTTGGAACCCCTAGGAAAGCAGCATTAGTAGTCACAGTAACGCTAAGCTAAAGCTAAGCTAAAGCTAAGCTAAAGCTAAGCTACAGCTAAGCCACAGCTAAGCTAAAGCTAAACTAAAGCTGAAGCTAAGCTAAATATGAGCTAAAGCTAAGCTAAAGCTAAGCTAAAGCTAAGCTAGCTAAGCTAAGCTGAGCAAAGCTAAGCTAAAGCTAAGCTAAAGCTAAGCTAAAGCTAAGCTAAAGCTAAGCTAAAGCTAAGCTAAAGCTAAGCTAAAGCTAAGCTAAAGCTAAGCTAAAGCTAAGATAAGCTAAGCTAAAGCTAAGCTAAAGCTAAGCTAAGCTAAGCGAAAAGCTAAGCGAAAGCTAAGCTAAAGCTAAGTTAAAGCTAAGCTAAAGCTAAGCTAAAGCTAAGCTAAAGCTAAAGCTAAAGCTAAAGCTCCTAGGGGACTGGGGGGAACCGCTCCCAGGGGACCGGGGGAACCGCCCGGGGCGTGTAGCACTGCCCGGCCACTTAAAGCTAAGAGAGTAAGAACCCTTCTAGGCAGAGCCTAGGTAGGGAATAACAGGACTCCCCATATTTTCCAATATTTTCTGGGTGTTTGTCTTCCCCCCCCACTTCCCATAGTTTCCCATATTTTCTGGGGGATCGACGATTCATTGCGTCTGTGTGTTCTTTTCCCTCCTGAACGCACGCTGAAGGCCTGTGTCTGGCGAACTCTCCAGAACCACCAGAAGCAACAGCACGGTGGGAAACCAGGTCCTGAGGGACACGCATCCTGGGCCCTGGTGCCTCCCCCCAAGACGAGATCTTCATCCCGAACCGAACCGTCTTCTGAAAGTCCCAGGGCCCGTGGAGGTCCCCCGGTGGAGTCCCTCAGAAGCCAACACGGCGAAAGGACTCACTCGCCATCGCTCGGATGTCCATCCCATGTGCATTGTTCCATTTCGTGCGTGTATTGTTTCGTAAGGTGACCCACAGTGCTCCTCGATGGTACTCGCCGAGAAAAAATGCACACGTCCGAGCGATGCCAAGCTCAGGACCCGTTTCCCTCTGGACCCGTTGGCCCTCATGGCGACAGCAACACTCTGTCCTCGTCGCGAACGCACAGGCCCGTGTCGATGCAGGCCCGGGCCAGTCAAGCTTCGCAGGACCCTGCAGAATCCTGCAGCATCCTGCGCGATCCTGCGCGCCTGCCGGGGTCAGTGCAGCCCTGGCCTTGCAGCATCCTGCAACCTCTGGTGCTCTGGCTGACCCCCGTTTGCATTGACCACCATCTCTTGAGCCCCGATCTGATTCTGCCTTGCCTCTGTGAGGGAGGGAGGAGGGGGAGGGGGAGGAGGAGGAGGAGGGAGGGAGGAGGGAGGACGGAAGGGAGAGAGGGAGGAGGGAGGAGAGAGGAGGAGGGAGGGAGGGAGGAGGGAAGAAAAAGGGAGGGAGGAGAGAGGAGGGAGGGAGGGAGGAAGGGAGGGAGGAGGGAGGAGGGAGGGAGGAGGGCGGAGTGAGGAGAAAGGAGAGAGAGAGAGAGAGAGAGACGGAGGAAGGCGGAGGGAGGGAGGAGGCAGGGGAGGGTAGGGAGGGAGAGGGGAGGGGAGGGGGGGGAGGGGAGGGACCTCCCTCACATCCGGTGCCCCTCGGGGCAGTGTCCTCCCGACCCGAAGGAGCCCTGCCTGACCGGAGAGGGGCGCCTCCCTTCGCGGCCCCCTGGGGCCGCTCGCGAAGGAGGCGCGCGCGAGGCGCGCGCGCCTCGCCTGCGCGCCCCCGCCGCCCGAGGAGCCATCGAGCGAGGCTCAAGGATCGCTCGAGCGGGGCTCGAGGCTCGAGGCTCGAGGGGAAGGAAGGAAGGACAGAAGGAAGGAAGGAAGGAGGGAACGCCAGCCGTTCGACAAGGACGAGATTCAGCTCAGACTTGCGGAACGAATGCCGCCGTGCCCTGTATCCCCAATTAGAGCTGTGCGTAGCCCGCCTAGCTTTTAGCAAAAGAGGTTCGCTTTCGTCCCGCCGACCAAAAAAGTGGAAGGAACGCCCGAGCCGTTCGACAAAGACGATGTTCAGCTCAAACTTGTGAAACGAATGCCCCCCCTCAGATGACGGCCACCACTCTGTGCACCGAGCGGCCTGGACCCATCGCGAATCGCTCGTGCTGTATTGTGTTCGTACTGGCGTGGTTGGATGGCTACCCGGACCTCCTCGCCCACGGCGTCGCTGTCCAAGCCGCGAGGGCGGGGAGGCTCGCTCCCCGAGGATCGATCCTCCCCGCCCTCGAGCCTCGAGCCTCGAAGGCGGGGAGGAGCGATCCTCGGGGAGCGAACGCGCCGAGGGTCGGCGCGTCGAGGCTCGAGCGTCGCCGCCGGGGGGCTCTCCCGGCCAGCGGAGAGTCGAGCTGCCCTGCACCTGCCCCTCGCCGCTCAGAGGTGTCCACCACCTCCCCCTCGCTCCCCACAGGTTCTCCTCCTCCTCCTCCTCCTCCTCCTCCTCCTCCTCCTCCTCCTCCTCCTCCTCTCCTCCTCCCCCTCGCTCCCCACAGGTCCTCCTCCTCCTCTTCCTCGCCTTCCTCCTCCTCGCCCTCCTCCTCGCCTTCGGGTGCAGCGGTCGGGAAACAGACAATCCGCCGACCCCTGGTTGCCGAGGGCCAAAACACCGTGTGAGACATCTGGCCGTCCTCCGTCCCCCTTTCCACCGCCCTTGGGGGTCCAGCGTGCCGTTTGAGGGGGGGGTGGGGGTGGGCGAGCTCGGCAACGCAACCCCCGGGGCTCCAAGAGCCTCCAACAAAGCCCACAGACGGCCCAAGAGGGCTCAGGCAGAGCGCCAAGACCGTCCAGCAGAGCGTCGAGACTCGTGAGCAGTCTCGTGGGCGTCTCAGGGCCCTTTCGGGGGCGCTGTTCGGCTCCGCGCTGCCTTGGGGTTACCTTGGGTGGTCTTGAAATCGTCGGGAGGCCTTCTGGATACTTTGTGGCGAACTCTTGGGGCACTCGTGAGCCATTTAGGGTAGCTCTGAGGGCCCTCGTGAACGACCTTGTAGCCCTCCACGGCGCTCCTTCCGTCGGTTGTGCCCGAGAATCCGCCGACCCTGTCGGCGTGTGTGAGGGGCGTCTCCGTTCGACTCGTCGTCTCCGTCGTCTCCGTTCTCCCCCTCCCAGGGCTCTCCTCCTCAAGCGCGCTATCCAAAGCGAAATTGAACGACGTCGTAGTGGAGTCGAATGGAAACCCCTTCTCTTCGATCCCTTCCGCGCATCGGGGGGGAGGGGGGGGGGGGGGGGGTTGGGGGGGGGGCGGGGCTAGATACGACTACGCCCCGCCGGGGCGCACTTTCCTCGAGCGGTCACGCTCGGATGCCTTCCTCCCTCCCTCCTCCTCCTCCTCCTTCTCCTCCTCCCCTCCTCCTGGTCCTCCTCCTTCCTCCCTATCCTTTTCCCTCTCTCCTGCTCCTCTCCTCCTTCTCCTCCTCCTCCTCCTTCCTCATCCTCCTCCCGCAGAGGCGTCCCCTGAGCGGGCCCCGAGTCAAATATACACCACCCTAGGGCGCTTTTTCCCCGAGCGGGCACGCCCGGATGCGCTTTTTCTCTTCTGGGAGCACGTCCCAAGTTCAGAATTCACACTGCTACTCCGGGATATATCGCACTCACCGGGGCTGGGCACTTTCTTCCCGTTTCCTTTCTTCGGATGGGCACCAGGAAAGGATGCACTTCCTCCTTCCTCCCTCCTCCCCTCCTCCCTTCCTCCTCCTCCTTCTCCTCCCTCCCTTCCTCCTCCTGCTTCCTCCTCCTCCCTGCCTCCTCCTCCTCCTCCTCCTCCTCCCTTCTCTTCCTCCTCCTCCTCCTCCTCCTCCTCCTCCTCCTCCTCATCACCATCCTCCGTTTCCTCCCCCCACTCCTAGCCCTTTCGATCAGGGTCGGCGGCACCGGCCGTCAGGCCTCTCCAATACAAGAAGACAACAAGTTTGACGCACGCGCAAATCGATGCTGACGGTCTGGACTGTTTCGGGCATCTGTCCACAGCGTTGTGGGTCTCCTTCGTAACTAGGGCCTCGTGGGGTTGGGTCGGGCGTGTCCCCCTACAGGCAGATGTTGAAGGACATGCAAGAAATACTAAAACAATACATATATATATATATACACTCAAAGCAATCAAACATAGTCCCCATACAACGTTTTGACTCTTTCTGAATACTCCTCCTGTGGAGTGATAGGCCAGACTCGATCGTGGGGCACGAGCGCGGCCTCGGGAAGCCGTCCGCGGCCCCAAGCAGGCCGCCTGCGGGCGGGGCGGCCTCGGAGCGGTCTGGGGCCGCCTCGCTGGTGCCGTGGCTCACCCCTGGGAGTCCTAAGGGGGCCCGGGCCCTGCCGTGGAGAGGTCGGGCCCCGCGCCCGGGCCACGAGCCCTCTGCTGAAGGGGCCCTGGGACACACCAGTAAACACACACACACACACACACAAATCACAGGATTCCCCATATGTTTTCCCATATGTTCTGGGCTTTTGCCTTCCGCCCCACTTCCCATATTCTTGTATGGTTTCCGGGGAAGCGACGATGAATTGTGTCTCTGTGTTCTTGTTCCCTCCTGACCTGCGTTCCCTGGCAGGCGGTGCAGGTACCAGAGGGTTCCAAAGGGTTTTTGTTTGGGAAGAGGGGGTTTTCCAGGAGGGGTCCCCCAGGGGCTTCGCATCCCCCGTTTTGACGAGGCTCCGAGGCCCCTGGAGGGCTCTCTGGAAACCCCCTCCCCCAAACGCCCCCTTTGGAACCCTCCTGAGGTACATGGGCGATTGCGGAAGACCCTGAACCCCAAAAACAATTTCATCCCTTGGGGGCGCATGTGTACTTCCGCCGCCTTCCGCCGAGCTTCCGCCGGCTTCCGCCAGCAGGGCGGCCTCGTTTTGCTTCCGCCGACCTTCCGCCGCGGAAGAGATGACAACAACTTCGATCCTCGAAGGCAAGGCCCTTATTTGGAACGCCTCACATGCATACGTGGCGAACGCAAGAGAAGGGCGCGCCTGTGCTCGTCTCAACTGCAGGCGGGCATCAGGGAACACCAGCACGATGTCGGCCAGGTCGGTGATGTGCAGCTTCAGCACGTGCAGATAAGACAACGCGCGCACCTTGCTTCTGGGAGGCCACACATGGACGAACGACTAAAGCATCAACGGAGGATGCAAAACCCAAAGTCCGCATGGATGCTGTCTTTCGGGAATGCCGTGTGCCATCCTCGCTTTTGCGTTTCGACAAGGCCACGCAAGGACGCCTCGGATGTGACTTTAGCTTCACCAGTGGAAAAATCACCATGAGCAGGTGCATCACATGATAGGATGTAGAAATGAAGCAGATCGGTCAACTGGCCCGAAACGGCCACACCAGGTCTGCGAAATTCTTGGGGTGGCCTCCCCGACTGAAGACCGTCGTGAAGAGAAGACCTCGAGCCGTGGGCAGTCCCGACTGGCTTGCACCCGAAGACGGTGCCAAGAAGCCCCCCTTGCCTGCACCCTTACGTTTAGGTCGGGCAGGTCCTCCCACAGGCGAACTTGAGAAGTAAGGATGAAACGTTGTCGAAAGATATTGGAACCTGGTCGACAAAGTGTCGAAACATCGTTCCCCGACTATTTGTGTCTAGTCTCGAATACTCCTCCTATAGAGGGACACGCCAAACTTTACGCTACGAGCAGGCTTGCGGCAGTGCGACGGACGCCCACTCGTCGAGTGGTCGGTGGGAGCAGCCCACCGCCGATGTTATGTCTTACTTCTCGCACGCTGGCATGCAAGAGAAACAATCTCGTCGACATGTGCTGCGCTAAGATCCCCTCAACGTACACAGCCTGCACGACGAAAAGAGGGGCAGAGGTGGTGCGGGGGGGGAGGGAAGGGGGAGGGGGGGGGGGGGGGGGAGGGGGGGAGCGAGCAGACAGCAGGACGGAGGGTGAGAGAGAGAGAGGCGGGGAGCTCGGAAAAAGACGCTCGGGTTGTTTTTTTTGAAGGCCTCCCCTCCTCAACCAAACATGCGTGTTTGCGATTGCTCCTCCCGTTAGCGGCGGCGGAGCGAGGGAGGCGGGGAAGGAAATCAGTAGTGAGAGGGGGGGGAGGACGCGGAGGAGCAGAGGGGAGCAGGCCCAAAGGCCCCCGCCTTCTCAGAAGTGCGGCGGGGCGGGAACCTCTCATAAAACCGCGTCGGCCGGCGCGGCGGGTGGCGGGCGCGCGGGAGTGGGGAGGGCAAAAGGCACTGAACATAAACCCCTAGTGCCCTACCTGAGGAAATGTTCCTGTCTTCGGGGGAGGAGGAATGGAAACTTTGAACTTCTTCAAAGGCTGGGGGTGGACCTTCCCGCAGTCGTCTGAGAAGGCACGCCCCTTCTACGGCGGGGAGGGGGGATGATGGCGGAGGCAGGAGGAAAGGAGGAGGAGGAGGAGGAGGATGGGGAGGAGGAGGAGGGAGGAGGAGGGGAGGAGGGGGGCTGGGAGGAGTGAGGAAGGAGGAGGAGGAGGAGGAGGTAGGGAGGAGGAGGGGGAGAGGAGGAGGAGGAGGCGGAGGGGGAGGAGGAGGAGGAGGAGGAAGAGGGGAGGAGGAGGAGGAAGGAGGAGGAGGAGGAGGAGGAGGAGAGGAGGAGGAGGGCGGAGGGGGAGGAGGAGGAAGACTCGCCGCCGACCACTTTGGGGGTTACGCGATGGTACCGCTACCGCTACTCCCCGGACCTCTCCCGGGGTGCGCTCGGACCAGGCTCTCGAGGCGAATCCAGCGGTGGCGGAGAGGGCCTCCAACCACCACCACACGGCCAAGCGTCCTGAGGGACGCGTGGGCAGAAGAGCGCGCGATTGGCAGCTCTTCGCGGCAGACGCACATAAAGAACAGAGCATCACGACTGTGAAGCAGAAGAGACAGCGGCAAACAGCAGGAGGGGGAAAGGAGAAGGAGGGGGAGGGGGGAAGACGAAAGAGGCCCGAAATAGGCGAAAACGAGGGAAAGGTGGCGGTGTGGAGGTCTTTCCCTGCTCTGACGTTTCCCGCGGTGGACATGGACAAGAATGGGAAAGACGGCCCCGAGATCGGGTTGTTGCCAGTGGCGTCCCTGGCCCAAGGAGCCCCCGCTGCTCGCGCCACGTCGGGGCCCCTGGGGCCCTCTGGGCCTCCTGACCTGTCATCGCTCGGACGTCCCCTCCCCGTGCAGCTTTCGGTTTCGTGAATGTGTTTTTTCCTGTGTTCGCAAGATGGCCTACGATAGAGGCCTCTTAGATGGGGTCGGAGTATGATGGGGTCGGAGGAGCGCACCGCATCGCCGATACAGTGGCGATACATCGCCGATGCATCGCCGATGCATCGGCGCCATCGGCGATGCATCGGCGACTAGCACATCGGGCTCCACGTCGAGCCGCATCGAGAAGACATCGACGATACGGCGCGATCCTCCGACCCCTATCTACTCGGACACCATCTAAGAGGCCTAGATGTTTTAAGTCGGGCCTGTCCTCCTACAGGGGGATTTTGGACGGAAAATAAAAATACCCCAACAAGTACCTCCAAATGGTCAAACATACTCCCAAAATAGTCCCCAGACTATTTGTTTGACTATTCTTGAGCACTCCCCCTGTAGGGGAGCAGGCCTGACTTAAGCATAGATACGATCTCCTCGATGGCCCCCGCCGAGCAACGAAAAATGCGCACGCCCGAGCGGTGCAAAGGCGAAAAGGCGCTCTCAGAGAGGCTGCCTGGGCCTCCTCCCCCCCATTGGCAAGCCTTGGTTTGTGGGGGTGCGCCCCGCCGGACCAGCACGGACCCGGAACCAGTGAGACGCCTCCAGCAGACCCTGCTCTCTCCTCCCCTCCCTCCCCTCCTCCCCTCCCCCCTCCTCTCCCCTCTCCTCCTCCTCCTCCTTCCTCCTCCTCTCCTCTCCCCCTACCCCCTCCCCCTCCCCTTCCCCTCCTCCTCCTCATCCTCCTCCCCTCCTCCTCCTCCTCCTCCTCCTCCTCCCTCCTCCCCCTCCTCCTCCTCCCCTCCCCTCTTCCTCCTTCTCCCCTCATCCCACTCCCCCTCCTCCTGATCCCCTCCTCAATCCTCCTCCTCCTCCTCCTCCTCCTCCTCCTCCTCTCTGCCTCCCCCCTCCTCTCATCCTCCTCCTCCTCCTCCTACTTCACCCATCCTCCTCCTCCCTCCTCCTCCCTCCTCCTCAATCCTCCTCCTTCTCCCCTCCTCCTCCTCCTCTCTCCTCCTCTCCTCCTCCTCATGCCTCCCCTCCTCCCTCCTCCCTCCTCCTCCTCTTCCCTCCCTCCTCCTCCCCTTCTCTCCTCCTCTCCTCCTCCCTCCTCCTCCTCCTCCTCCCTCCCTCCCTCCCTCCCTCCCTCCCTCCTTGCCTCCAGGAGTGGCGGCGGCGCAGTCTCGCCCGATGTTTGTTGCGCAGGTGCTCGTTCGAGATCAGCATGTCCTGGCCGCAGAGGCTTGCCGCGGTGCCGGGCAGGAGAAGCGCGCGGCGCGCGGCAGACCGGAGCCCCTGCGGAGGCAGGAGGGAGGAGGACGGGGAGGGGGCGACGGGCCAAACTGAAGGGGCCGTGGGACACACAAATAAATACACACAAATAAAAACATTCCGCATATTCTCCCATATTTTCTCGGTTTTTGTCTTCCCCCCCACTTCCTACATTTTCCAATATTTTCTGGGGAATCGAAGATTCATTGTGTCTGTGCGTTTTTTTCCCTCCTGACAGACGCATGCAGTGAGCGAAAGCGGGTCGCACACGCGTGGCGCACGGACGGGTCAGCGCGTGACATTTCTAGAGGAGGGTGCGCAGCCGGGCCAGCAGATGAGCTGATGAGACGGCCCCAGGCGTTCCAGGCAGCACAGCCATGGAGGGCAGAGCGAGCGATGGCATGCAGAGGGAACGAGGGATGAGCGAAGGCGGAGGGAGGGGGGCGGGGAGGACGGGGAGGAGGTGCAGAGCCTCCTTGATGGGGTCGGAGTAGATGGGATCGGAGGATCGCGCCGCATCGCCAGTACATCAACGATGCATCGGCGAAGCGTCAGCGATGCATTGGCGATACATCGTCGACGCTGGCGATGCATCTGCGACGTCGACGTGGAGCAAATCGGGCTCTGCATCGGGCCCCATCGGCGATGCATCGGCGATGCGGCTCGATCCTCCAACCCCATCTACTCCGACCCCAAATAGGAGGCCTAGAGATGAGCGAGGGCGGGGGGGGGGCGGGGAGGACGGGGAGGAGGTAGGAGGTCGAAGGCGGACGAGCGACGACGAAGACGGGCACGAGGGCGGGCACGAGGGCGGGGGGGAGAGAGGAGGCAGGAGCAGGACGTGCCCCTGGAGATCGTGAGTCGGGGATCTGCTGATCCGGGTCAAGGGTCAAGCCAGACCGGGCCAGTCGGGCCTGGCAGGCTCCTGCAGGATCCTGCGGGATCCTGCGCCCAGACCCGGGCCAGTGCGCCCCTGGCCCTGCAGGATCCCGCAAGATCCGGCGCGCCGACGGACCCCCGCCTGCAGCTCTGCAGCGCGCCTGGCCTGCGGGAACCGAGACCAGGGCCGCCCACGGCGACAGCACGGCCGAGCTCCGGCCGAGAGACGGCGAGCGAGGCCGACACCGACCGAAACCAGCAGGCCGCCAGCAGCCGACGAGGGCGAAGCGACGCAGCAACGACACACCGACCGACCGAACCGAACCGACCGAATCGAACCGACCGAACGCATCGACCTTGACGCAACCGAACCGACCGAACCACGAACACCCTTGGGGACGGAGGAGCAGCATGCGCATCCTCTTCCGCCTCCTTGTTTTCGTCATCGTCCCCTTCATCCCTGCATCCCCCTCCTCCACCTCCTCGTTCGGAGAACAGGCGGGGCGTCCGGTCCTGACCCCAGATGTCACCGCCAAGCAGGATGCGGCCAGCAGATGAGCACACGCCATGCCTGCGGCACCGATGTGTTCCCCTCCGAGCTCATCTTCCTCCTCCGCCACCTCCTCCTCCTCCCGCTGCTCCTCATCTTGTTCGACGTCATCATCATCATCATCATCATCATCATCATCATCATCATCATCATCATCATCATCATCATCATCATCATCGTCATCAACATCGTCAGCATCATCATCCAACTCTTCCTTCTGCTCGACCTCCTCCTCCTCCTCTTCCTCCTCCTCCTCCTCTTTCCGCCTCCTCCCCCTCGTGCGCCTCATGCCGTATACATCCTCCTCCGCCAGCTCCTCCCGCTCTATCGCATTATCTGGCACTTCCTCTCCACAACCCGTCCTCTTTGCTGCGGCCCATACGTTCAGGATGTCACGTGCTGTCTGGCACGGCGGGGAATGTAAGTCTTCTCTGGGCCCCCCCCTTCTGATCGCACTGCCCCGCATGCATACTCCCCCCCCCCTTTCTGGAGCTTCCCGGGCGGCCCCCGAAGCTTCCTCGGGCATCTCCCGTGCTCTCCGGGACTGCCGAGACGGCCCAGGAAAGCGACCAGGGCCGTCAAGATGGTCCAACAATGCCTCAAAAGACATCAGACTGACCCTCAGAGGCTCCAAGAGGCGCCGAAGAGGTCCCAGAAGGCTGCAAAGAAATCAGACGAATAGAAGGAGGACCATCCCTTGTCAGTCTGATACACAAACCCATACACAATGCACACAATACACACAAAACACACACTACCCACAATCCACACAGACACACACACACAAACAGACACACACACACAGACACACACACACACACACACACACACACACACGCACACACACACACACACACACACACACACACACACACACACACACACACACACGCACGCGCACACACACACACACGACATGGCCCTCCCACCGAGACACGGCCCCCGCCAGACACAACCCCGCAGCGTCGCGGTGAAGGGGTCAGGGTCTGCCAAGGCGAGCCCCTTCTTGGGCCGAGGCACTCCGGCGCGCGACCGCACAGCGACACGAGCGGAGGGAAAGCCACGACAGGGATATGTGAGAGCACCCACAGCAGCCAGAAGCTCTGCCATGTGCAACCTCGGCGAAGCCACCTTTCGACCCCAGAAGCGCCAGGATGCACAAGGAGCGCGGGGGAAACACTTCTGGAAAGACGCAGGGACGCGAACCCCTTCCGACTCCCAAGTGGAGTGTGCAGTCTTGGCCGCCCGCGGACGGTGACCACGCTCGCGCAGAACACCTCGGGCCAGGCTCATGGTGATCCGCCTCCTCGTATTGCATGTTTCCCTCCTTCTCATCCTCATCATGAATACCACCACGACCACCACCTCCATCATCATCATCATCATCATCATCATCATCATCATCAAAATCATCATCATCATCATCATCCTCATCCTCATCCTCATCCTCATCATCATCATCATCCTCATCCTCATCCTCATCCTCATCCTCATCATCATCATCATCATCATCATCATCATCGTCATCAACATCGTCATCATCAGCAGCAGCATCATTATTAGCAGCAGCATCATCACCTTTATCACCGCCACCACCACCATCAACATCACCACCATCACAATCACCGTCACCATCATGTTCAGCATCATCATCGTAATCATCATCATCATCAGCAGCAGCAGCATCGTCGTCAGTATCAGTATCATCACCATTATCGTCATCATCGCCGCCATCGTCTTCATTCTCATTGTCGCCATCGTCAGCAGTATCAGCAGCAGCACCAGCAGCGGCATCATCGCCATCATCACCATAATGAGCATGCACTTCATCATGACCCCTCATACTCATCATCAGCATCAGCATCGTCGTCGACGCCGTCATCGCCGTCGTCGCAGTCGTTGTCGTCGACCGCATCAGCATGATGGTGATCATCATCATCACGACCATCATCATCAGCAACAGCATCAACATAATCACCATCATCGGCGTAAATCACCGTCAATAACAACATCATCATCAGCATCATCGTCGTCAACATCATTATCATTACCATCTTCATCAGAATCCTCATCCTCATCCGCATCAACATCCTCATCCTCATCCTCATCATCAGCATCATTATCAATATCGTCGTCATCAATATCCGCCGGCCCCCTTGTGGGGCTATCAGGCTGCGAGGATTAGGTTTGCTGCTCCCTGCGCCAATTGAAGTTTCCAGTCTCAAATGTTACATTCCTGCTTTCTGCTTCCTACTGTAAACTGTTGAAGTCCGCGCGAGTTGGGGGAGCCGCAAAACGTCCGGTTACCTTCCCCGAATCGGGTGCTCTCAATTCCTGCGGGGCTGTGGGACATGTAAAAACATATGAGATTCGCGCTCCCGACGCAATAATCCCGTGTAAATTACCCAGTATACGCGCCCGCGAGGCTTTGTAAAATACACCATACTCGCGCCTCCGAGGCCACAATCTCCAGCATATTACGCTACATTCGCGCCTCTGGGGGCACGATCCCTTGCAGTTTACGCTACACTGGCGCCCCCACGGCTACGATCTCTCGGAAGTAATTACCCCATGTTCGCACCCCCTAGGCCACGATTCCATGATGCCACCCACGTCCGCGCCCCCGAGGCCACGATCCCTTGCAAATTACACAACGTTCGCGCCCCCGAGGCCACGATCCACGGTAAACTACGCCGTGTTCGCGCTCCCGAGGCCACGATCCTATGACAATTACACAGTGTTCGGGCTCCCGAGGCCACGATCCCATGTAAATTGCGCAACGTTCGCGCCCTGGAAGCCACGATCCCATGCAAAGAGGCCCCAGGGAGCCCCAAGATGGTCCCACGAGGGGCACAGGCAGGGCACCACGAACCGAAAATTCTATATTTGTGCCCCGCGAAGCCCCCAGATGGCCCTAGAGACCGCCAAGGGGCCCCAAGATGCCCGAAGAGGCGCCCAAGACGCGCCCAAGAGGCCTCTACGAAGCCCCAAAGATACCCCACGAAGCCCCAAGAGGCCAACAAGAAGCGCCCAAACCGCCTCCAAGAGGCCCCCGAGAGGCCCCCCACGACACCCCAGCACATATACAAGACCCACAACCCAGGCACGGCGGTAGGGAGATGAGCCGAAAGCCACTAGGATAACGCCAACGTCCCGATATGCGCTGATGATCCCATCCGCTGACGCATGATGTTCCCAGATGCGCCAAGGCAGCGCCGAGACAAACCGACGCGACTCGGATATACCCCATTATGATAGAGATGGGCCGGCGGCAGGGGGCGAAGTCCTTACGGATAACCAGCATCGTCAGCATCATCGTCATGTCTCGTCATTCGCCAGCCTCATACTCATCAGCAGCATCATCGTCGTCGTTTTCTTCATCGTAATCAGTATCGTCATCAGCATAATCAGCAGGATCGTCACCATCCTGACCATTCTCGTCATCACACTCACCATCGGCATCGACGTCGTCATCGCCATCCTCAATCGCCGAATTCAACACCACCATCATCATCAGCATCATCATCATCAGCAGCAGCATCGCAACCATCATCATTAGCATCGCAGCCATCGTCATCATCATCATCATCATCATCATCATCATCATCATCATCATCATCATCATCATCATCATCATCATCATCATCATCATCATCATCATCATCATCCCGCTGTGCCTACGCCCGCCGCATCATCCCCCTCTAGCCTCCCCCTTCTCCCCGCCCCCCCCTCCCCTCCCCTGCCTTTACCTTCGGCACCTCCATCCGAACCGAGCCGTGGGGACCGGGGCCTCCCAGGAGGCAAAAAAAGCCCCACGCGCCCAAACTCTCACCGAATACGCCAAACCCCCGTCAAACTCACAGCGGATGCGTCCCTGTCGTCATCCCCCCCTCCTGGGGAGCAGGGCGACGACGACGAGCCCGACGACGACGGCGACACCCCCCCGATCCGACCCCGCATTCTGCGCCGCCGCCGGATCTGAGGGGCAACGTCAGGGGGGGAACCAGTTCAGGGGGGGGGAAGCATCGACCTGGAATCGGCGATGCATCGCAGATGGATCGGCGATAAGCCCGCGGTCGCACATCCGCACGGTCCCGGGAGGGGTGGGCTGTCGGGTCCCTATCTGCGATCAGTGGGCGATTGGGAGCCGATGCATTCGCCACCTGAGCTCAAGTATGTCAGGCTCGTGTCGTGACGACCCCGACGTTGGTTCCTGACGCCGCGTGGATCGCTCAACCGTTAAAGTTAGGTCGGGCATGTCCTCCTGCAGGCGGATTCTGGACGAAAAACTAAAAATAATGATAACAGGCGGAATCATAGCCACACGTACTCCAAAAATCGTTGTTCTACTATTTTTCGGCCATTGTTGAATTTTCCTCCCGTAGAAGGACGCGCCCGACGTGACGTTCAAGTCGCCAGGCCGTTCCGTGCTGGCCGATTCGGGGCCGCTGGCGGCGCTCCGCCGTGCACGACGGCGCCGAAGGCTCGCCGCTGCGCCGGCACGACCCGAATGCTGCCTGAAGGTCGGGCATGTCTGAAGGGGCCCCAGGACACACAGATAAATACACACAAATAGAAGGATTCCCGTATATTTTCCGATAAATTCTGGGTTTCTGTCTCCCCCCCACTTCCCATATTTTCCTATATTTTCTGGGGAATCGACGATTAATTGTGTCTGTGTAATTGTGTCTGCGGATTTTGGACGACATCTATAACAATAGTCAAACAAAATGTTCAGAAACGACTCAAGCAATAAGCAGGAACATCGCATCCACGCTACATGTTGACTATTTCTGAGCTTTCCTCCTGTAGAAGGACATGCCCGACTTACATGTTGCCGCCGACATCCTCCCTCCGCCCTCCCTGGCCGCGCCTGACGATGAACAACGTGCGCTCGGGCAGCACCTCCGCGGGCGCGCGGGCGCCGCCGTCATGCCGCCTCCTCCGCGGTTGCCGTCGTCGCCATCGCCATCGCCTCCTTTCGCCATCGCCATCGCCATGCCATCAACGTTGCCGTCGTCGCCAACCCCATCGCCTTCGACATCGCCGTGCCGTCCTCGCCATCGCCACCTCCTGGTGCCATGAGGAGTCCGCAAAGAAGGATCTCTTCGGGGACGTCCACGAGGGGGCCGTCCAAGAAGGGGAAGGGGTGGTAGGAGATAATCATGGCCCGAGGCGTGGGCGGGGAAATGTCAGGGGTAACGTTAGGAGGGGCACTGGCTCGGGGGGGGGGACCTCGACCTGAAATCACCGACTGAGCTCTGGACGGGTCGAGCTAGAGTGTGCTCTACGTGTTCGCATTGGTGTCGTGTGCCCTCGTTCTGTCTTCGTTCCGCCTTTGAGGCAATACAACGGCAAAACTAGAAAACGAAAAAACGCCACAAACCTTAACTGCTGGCGCTCCGCGCGGACTTCTTGATCTGCGCTGGGCTGGCGCGCGGAACATGCCAGGGGCGGCGCCGACGCCGCTGGGGGTGCCCAGCGCGGATACAAGAAATCCGCGTGGAGCGCCGAAGTTTATGCTTACGATGTCAGCGGTCCCCCACCTCCTCCTCCTCCTCCTCCTCCTCCTCCTCCCTCCTTCTCCTCCTCCTCCTCCCTCCTCTCCTCCTCCTCCTCCTACTCCTCCTCCTCCTCCTCCTCCTCCTGCTCCTCCTCCTCCTCCTCCCCCTCCTGCTCCTCCTCCCCCTCCTGCTCCTCCCCCCTGAGCTCCTCGATCCGCCCCCCCCCACCTCCGAGGCAGCGGCGCCACGGGCGCCCCCTCGGCGAGCGAGGCCGCTCTCGCCCCCCTTGGCGGGGCGGGCTCGCGGGTGCCCCTCTCGGAGACGGCGGGGCGATTGGGGGGTCGAGGCGTCACCCCCCCAGTGATCGGGGAGACTCGCCATCGCTCGGACGTCCATCCCCTGTGCACGTTTCGATCTCGTGCGTGCATTTTTTCGTAGGGTGACCCACCATGAGCGATGCCAGGAGGGGATGAAGGAGGAGGAGGAGGAGGAGGAGGAGGAGGAGGAGGAGGAGGAGGACCCGAGGAGGAGGAGGAGGAGGAGGACCCCCTCCCTCTCCTGCCTCTGGTGGTGGTGGTGGTGGAAAACAGGCCCCTCACCTCGGGACCCGTGTGATCCACGGCCACTGCTGGTGCAAAGGCCCCCTGCGGCACGGACGGTGCCGCCGCCAGCCCCCGCCGCCAGGAAGGCGCCGCTCCACGGCGCGGCCCGGGCGCTCGCGGCTCACAGCTCCGCGGCCCCCGCGCGCGTGGAGCCCACCCGGCAGCGCGCCGCCTCGCCGATGTTGAGGCTGTCGTCGACCGCCCGCACGAGGAGGGACGAGAGAGGAGCGGCGCCGTCGGGGGCGCGCAGGCGCGAGCCCCAGCCGGGCCCCGCGCGCACCATGATGTACCACCTGCAGGGCGAGGGCAGCTCTGGAGGAGGACGAGTCGCATCAAAGGGCGGCGAACGCGCCCGTGCCCACGCCCTCGCGGCCTGGATTCTGGGGCGCGATCCCTTAGATACGCATGGAGGCGCTCCGCACGGGGCATCCACGCGGTCGCGGCCCAGGGGCCCAGCCCGCGAGACCGTGGATACAGATCTGTGTTCCTCCCGCGAAAGAATGGGAAATACGTCGGACGCCGCGACTGGTCCCAGAGCGCTCGGGAACTCGGAGAGCGCCCCAGGCCACTCTGGAGCGAGCCGGCCTCGTCCCGAGCCTGCCCAGAGTGAGCACGTGACGCATCACTGACGCTGCCACACACGGCTCCGCCCCCAGTCTCCTCTGCGCAGGTGCGCAGGAGCACACCTTGAGCAGGGACCGACCGTCCCAGCATTCCTATAGTCCTACCACGACATGTTCGGAGAACCCCAAGATGTTCAAATAACATAATCAATGCGCTTAGAACATGAGCCCGATGTGGTAACACGAGACAGACTCCGCCAGACATGTTCTAAGAACAGTTCGTGGAAACCACAGAAAAGGTTCTTGGAACATTGTTTGGCACGGCTACAGGCCAGCCAGGACGCTTCGCCAATGCTAGAAGACCCTCTGCACCCTTCCGGAGGCGTTTCCTCCGGGTCCCGTGGGCCTGCCACTCGTCGGCAGTGTGGGGGTGGATCCGTGGGAGATTCCTTCGTGACCACGCCCAGAGAGGAAGGGGCCCCAGGACACACAGATAAGCACACACACACAAGTAAAACTATGCCCCATATTTGCCCATTTATTTGAGGGGGTTCTGTCTTACCCCCCACACTTCCCATGTTTTCCCACATTCTCGGGGGAATCGGCGAATAATTGTGTTTGTGTGTTTTTTCCCGTCCTGAAGAGAGCTGGGTCGGGAACCACTGGCTGTCTCCGCCTCTCCGAGAGGTCGTCGTGAGACCAGTGGACTCAGAAGCAGGGCCCCAGAACTCCAACCACGCAGGCATGCAACCACATCAGCATTCCGCCCGCCGCGTTTGAGAAACGACCCCCCTCCATTCGTTGTGTGCATATAAGAATGACGCCATCATGCCCCCTGGCACGTTGAGGCGTGGTAGAACTGCTTCCTGGTTGGGTTTCTGTCGCCGGCTCCGAAGGGTGAGACGAGCACAAGTGCTTCGACTTACCAGGAAGAGGAGAAGAGGAATTAGCAGTTAGCGCAATATATAGGAGCAGAAAGAGCGACGCCAACACTACGAGGGACCACCAGCGGGAGGAGTCAGGGGAGGTTCTCCTGGTGGCGTGGCCCCCCCCTCTCGCTCGAAACATCCCCTATCCCCAGCTCGGGGAGGCATCGTGGACCTCCTCGCTGGAAGTGGCACCCCTGGTGGTGATGGTGTCGCGTCTCCTCCCCCCGAACATAAGCAACTACAATAGGGGCCCGACCACAAGAAACCTTCCGCAAGAAACCCAACCCTGAGACTCCAGCACGTCCAGTGTTGATTGGTGTGAGAACGTCACGCTGTCCGCAGCAAAACCATCGACCCCCCAGAAACCCAGGGCACCCTGGTGGCAAACCAGGGTGTTTCTTGGCATGGGCCTCCACTGTGCATGAACGTTCGGATGCAGGCCAGCGCGGAGCTCACCAGCTGGCTCCAAAAAACGGAGCCTTGTTCTTCACCTCCCACTTGCCACCCCCCATGGCCACCCGCCCGATACCCATACCCATACCGCGACCCCGGGGGACCTCTCCCGGGGTCTGCTCTGACCAGGGCTCCCATAGACGAGCGCGTTGCGTTCCACTACTCGCAACGCAACTACACTCGCACATGGCCAAGATCCGCCGCGGGGGATCGTCGACAAAGTACATCGAAGCGGACATGTGCTTTTCGAACATTTGCAAGTATCGGTGATGGACAGAACCCCCTTTAGCACAACTTGGTTTAGTGAAAACGACCTCTGGCCCAAACCTGGCGGGCGCAAGCCTGAAAATTACTGCCACGGCGCCCCATCGAGAGCCGAAAACGGACAATTCACCAATTGATCGACGCGTCAGGGTGGGGCTTCTGTCCACCCCCGAAAGCAGGCACCTCTGCGAGTGGTGCCACGCGCCCGTCGGGTGCCCAGGACTCCGAGGGGACGCCCGTCGCGCCGCCCAGAGAGGGCTAGCCTCCAGGGCGACACCGGCGGCCAGGGCTGAACCTCAGCGGTGCTTCTCGCTTTCGTTCTGGCTTCGCTTTCCCTCGTTCTGTCTTCAATCCGCCTTGAACGCAAATAGGGGGCAAACAGACATACCTCGCTTTTGACTACCCTCGCTTCCAAGGGGTACCAAGCGATGCCAAACTACGGCCTGCACTGGTTAGGCCGCTTGACGAGGAGGCGCGTGGTATGACTTGGTTTTGCCTGGAAGCGAAAGCGGGGTAGGTAATTCACGCTCTGAGCCAAACGATACCGAAACGAAAACGGCCCACGGAGTCGCCAAAACGCCGCTTCGGTCCACCCCTGCCGGCGGTGCCGGCGCCCCGACCCCCCCCCCCGAGGCCCGCGCGGCCGCGCCTGCGGCTGATAGAGGCCCCCTTCGATGGGGCCCGAGCAGCTTTAGGGCGGGCGTGTCCGCCTGGGCGGGGGGTTTGGGGCGAAGAATCAAGCAGACTCAAAGAGTGCTCAAAAACAGCCCCTGACCATGTTTCTGACCACTTGGAGTGTTTCCCCCTGTAGAGAGACAGGCCCGACTTCAGAGTAGCTTGGATCGGCGCCGGCGAAACCGTCAATCTCGGTTTGCGGGCTTTGCGGTGGGGTCCTCCAGCATTGCAAGCAGCGGTGCTCCCCGCGGCTACCAATAGCTCGCGGCACTACCGAGCGTGTGAGACGCTATCTATAATATTCACAATCTCTGAGATTGCGTGAATAAGCTTAGAGGATCGCGCCGTGTCGCCGCTGCATCGTCGATGCATCATGGAGGCATCGGCGATGCATCGGCGACGCACCCGCGACGCGTCGGCGACGCACCGGCGCGGGCGCACGGTCTCCGCGTGTCGAGCCGCATCGTCGATGCATCGGCGGTGCGGCGCGATCCTCCGACCCCACCTACTCGGACCTCACATATCGGGCCGGGCGAAAGGGGGGGATCGCAAAGGGGGGGGGTGAGAATCAGCTCACGTAGCTGATTTTCCCGCCGCCTCCCGGCGCGCCGGGAGGCGGCCATGTGTCGAGAAGTGGGCCCGGCGGCGGGGCCGAAACCAGCTGCATGCAGCAGATTTCGTAACCCCCCCTTTCCCAATCCCCCCCTTTCGTCCGGCCCGATAGAAGCTTGAGCCCGAGCTCGAGCCCGAGCCCGCGCCCGAGCCGGAGCCAAGCCCAGAACCGAGCCCCAGCTCGAGGTCCCTGCCTCCCCCTTCCAGAAGAAGAAACGGCACAAGCACAAGCTTTTGGTACTCCGCGCGGATTTCTTGGATCTGCGCTGGACCCTCCTCCCTGGCGCGCTCCGCGCGCCAGGGGCGGCGCCGAAGGCGCTGCGGGGGCGGGGCCCAGCGCGGATTCAAGAAATCCTCGCGGAACCCAAAGGTTGTATGTTCAGGACAGGCTGAAGTTACCACTGCCACCAGCTCGAGGGGTGGCCGCTGCCTCCCCTCGAGCTGGTGGCACCTCCTTCCGGGAGCTCTCCGGAGGCATGCCCGGAACGGGGTGTCGCAAGCTCGAGGGGGAGGGGCAGCCACCCCCCTCGCTGAAGCTCGTAGTGCCTTTGCCTCGGATGGCTTGCTTGCCGTCGCTCGGACGTCCATTTCCCGTGCATTTGTCGGTTTCGTGCGTGCTTTTTCTGCTCGAGGGTCCAGGATGGTCCTCGATGGCGGCCAGGCAAGGCCTGTATTGAAGGGGCCCTGGGACACACGAATAAATACACACAACTAAAAGGATTCCCCATATTTTTTCATTTTTGTTTGTTTTTTGTCTTCCCCCCCCACTTCTCACATTTTCCCAGATTTTCTTGGGCATCCACGATTAATTGTGTTGGTCCTCGCCGAGAAAACAATGCACACGTCCGAGCGATGCCAAGTTTGTGGCGTTTCTTTCCTTCTTCGATGCTGCCCCCCTTGGGAGCTCGCTCTGCGAGGAGTGGGCGCCGCCTCTGCCCGTCCGCGGAGGCCTCCAAGGCGGCCACCGCTCCGCCGCCGCGATCCTGGAGTTAGGTCGGGCACGTCCTCCTACAGGCGGATTTCTGGAAAATAGAGCATGGTCAAAACATACTCAAACATTTACAGAAATTGTCGGAAAATCGTCCCACGACTATTTTGTATTAACCATTCTGGAATGTTCCTTCTGTAGATGGACATGCCCGACTTGATCCTGGAGGGCCGAAACACCACCCTGATGAGAGGCACCCCGACAAACGAAGCAGTTTAATAAACGCCCCCACGGAAGAAAACGAACAGGACAGGGCTGCTTAGTACACACCGTTTATGCCTAACCAGAAAAGGACTTCCAGCCCTTGGGGAGGGGACCTGATTTAGGAGGGCCAAAAAGAAGTATTCGGGATAGGGGCTCTGTTGATCCCTAATGCAAAGACGGGTACCTCGGTGATGCCACGTCTTCACTGTGTTATTAAGTTTAGGGTTCCCTGTATTCTCGGCAAACTTAGTAAACGCCAACTATTCAGCAAGCGAAGAACGATATGAAAACAATGCTTCCGTCGCCGGCAGCGCTGCCCCAGGGCGACTAGAAAGTCTATACCTTGACGTGCCACCGTAAGGGTATAAGCTGTCCAGCCGCCCTGGGACAGGCGCCCCCGACAGCGAAACAGTTTATGTTATATGTTATACCGTTCCTTGCCCGTTGAATTATGGGGGTCGGGATGTTTCTTCCTCTCTCGGCGGTGGACAAACCTCCCTTAAGTAAACCTCCCTTAACAAAAACCTCCCTTTAAAGAAAACGGACCTGGACCCGCAAACATGACGACCGCGACGCCCTCTCGCGAACAGAAAACGGCCAATTCCTCAATCGACGTGTCAGGGTAGGAGGTCTGTCCACCTCCGACTCTCCTGAGGTCCTCCGCCCTGGCGACCACCTCCAGCATACCAGGCGCCCCGAGCCAGCAGTGCGTCAGCGTCACCACGGGGGCCTCCGCGTCTGTGGACGCCACGGCGCGCGTCAGGCCGGGGCGCAGCGTAGCGGGCTGCACGCCCATGTCCGCGAGCACGTTCAGCGTCGCCTGCTGCACCGCGTGCTCTGGGCAGAGGAATCGAAAAACGGCCTGGGCTAATGTCGGGAGTGTCCAGGGGGATGTTCGACGAAAAAAAAAAAAAAAAAAAAAACGTATCCCAAAAATACCCCAAGAAGGTCAACAAAATACTTAAAACAATAGTCCCCTGACTATTTTTTGATTATTTTGTGGGTATTTATGATTTGTCGTCAAAATCCTCCTGTAGAGGGAGAGGCCCGACGTAAGCCTGGGCATAGAAACTCTCGGAGCTCCGCGCGGGTCTCGTGGGCCGGTGCTGGAAC